AGGAGGGTTGAATGAAACCAAAAATAGCCTTGGCCAGGTCCAGAGGAGATGCTGGTGAAGACAAAATGGAGGAGACTGGGAAAGAAGGGCAGGTACCTTTCTGGGGGCCAGGAGGACTAGCTGAGAGCCAGAGGCAGGGGCTCCTATGGGCCTTCTGTCCTCCACAATATGTCACGTGCCATAGAGAGGTCTGGTTATGGTTGGGTCTCCTCAGCATTGAGTGACAGAGATGGGACAGGGAAGATGATCAGATTCCACCTTCTGCCCTGCCCCCTTTTACCTGTGGAGAACCTCGGGTTCAGAGAAAAGAAATGGCTTATCCAAGGTTCAGAGTAGACCCAGACAGAGCCCTGGTGAGAAGCCACATCCTTTAGATGGTGGTACCAGGCTTCCCCAAAGGGAGATCCATTACCTGAGGAATTGCCACGTGCACCTGGCTTAGAACTCCATCTGCCTTACTGCATTCATGGCCAGTCTGAGCCACCGCTGGAGAAGGCCTCGGGACAGTGGTTGTTGGCAGGGGCTCGTGAGATGCTGACCCACATCGTGGGATTCTGGGCAGACCCTGAGCCACCCAGGCAGACCCATGGTCCAGTCCAGGCTGGCTCTGTGCCTCATTCATTTGCCGTGTAATCTGGTAGAGATCAGGTCATCTGCGTTTCTGTGCCTCTGTGTCCTGGACCCCAAAATGGTGGCCTCTGTAACTAGCTCTTACATTCAGGGTTGTTATTGGTTAGCGTGATTATCATTGCCAAGCGTCAGACTAAGTACATTTACACGCATTGCCTTATTTAAGTTATCTCATTTACGCCTCATGGCAGTCCCATTAGGTAGGTCCTGGGATTGGTGTCTTGACATTTTGCAGATGAGGAAACTGGGGCCGTAAGAGTATGGCTGACTTGCTGAAGGTCACCTAGCGAGAGAAAGGTAAAAGGGTTACTCATACTCAAACCATCTGGGTCTAAACTCTGAGCTCTTCAACTTCGGTTCAAGCTGAGAAGTAGGTTGGATTACATGGAGTAAAGATGATTGTGTGGTTGAGGCTGAATCATGTGAAATTATGGTACTAGGCCGTTTTGAACCAGGAAAACGGCAACATCGGAGTTTGGTGTCACTCAGAGGGAAGAGATGGCTGTAATGTTTTTGCGAGGGCATGGACAAAATCGCCCCTTTGTGGAGCTCTCTATCTACAGCTGGAAGGGGCTGAGAGATTGTGCGCTGCCGTGAGGCTCGGGCTGGCTCAGCCAGGTCCGGATGCCCTGGTCACCGTGTGCAGGGATAGTGACACTGCTGTCCTGGACATCCCCCACTGACTCCATTGTCCCTCGACTGGCTTCTTCCCAGCTGCCATTAATCAGACCCTGCACAGGTAGCATTCCTTCCTCCTGAGGTTCCAGTGCCCTAGCGCCAACTTGTTACTCTCTACTGTTTGCATATATATGTATTTTACTTTCATCTTTTAAATTTTATTTATTATTACTATTTTTAAATTTGCTATAGGACACATATGCTCACTAGAGACAGAGAGAGAAAGTGAGAAAGCAAGTTGCCAAGTCCGGGACCTAAACTGCTATTGGCCATGTGGGAGTCCAGTGCCTTAACCACCATGCCACCTGCTGTCCCCAACCATTTGAGTATTTTAAGGTTTATTTATTTCTTCTGAGGGGTGAGGGAGACACTCCCAACAGAATCTTCATGATGCAATCCATCCCCAGCCTCAGCCAGCCAAGATCGTGGGCATGCATGTGTGTGCCAGTATGCACAAGGAGATCCCGGGGTGTGAACCCAGGACCTTCCCCCTTGAGTTGCATTATAGCGGCACCACCACTGGGTCCTTGGATATTTTTAGCATTTTTGTCTTTGTTTTTTTAAGTTTTTACCATAGGGTGTGTGTACTCACTGGGGAGGGAAAGTGAGAAGTTATCCCTCGGGGGGCTGGCCTTGCTGCAGTCCCTTTTCCTCCATTCTCTTCTTGGGATTTTGGGCACACGCACCTGGTGTGAGTTTCAAGCCACTGGATCTAGGACTCCAACTGCAGTTGTCATGTGGGGGTCCAACACCTTAACCACCTTGCCGCCTGCTGGCCTCTTTGTTTTATAAAAATGGGTAGAAAACCAATGAATATAGCAGCCAGCCATGAAGCTGGAGTATCAATCATCAGCTTAATGAAAGAGAAACAAAGCTGGAGATTATTTGATGTGCCCCAAACAGGATATCATTCCCTATCCCGTCACACATTCACAGCACTTGAACTGGTCAACTCTGAGAATTTGTGAAGAAAAAGGACCAAAAAAGACAGCATTAAAAATGTGTAAGAAATGCTAAAAATACACACCCAGCGTTGTCTGATAGGTGAGAGATCACTTCAGATTTTACAGTGTTTTAAAGTTCTCTGGGACAGAATTTCCACCCCTACCACTTCTGCCTCTTTATGCTCCGAACATTAAAGCAATGTCCGCCTCCAAGTTGTGAGGAATGCAAGATGTCGGAAAGAGTCTGTGATTGATCTTGTTCTTTTGCTCCCAGTGAAATGATATGCAAACCATATTCTGCTTTATTTCTTCCGCTGAAACAATACACCAGCATCCCATTAATTTCTCCTTCCTAGATCTTAATTTCTCCTTCCATATTCACCCTTAACCTTTCCTTTCCCTCATGGGGGACTAGACTTTGTGCTGTCATCTATCTTCTGATTGGCTCTCCTGGATGTTGGTGGGCGATCCAGTGTTTCTCAGTGGAGGGAGCTGGGCTCTGGAGTGACCCAGACCTCCGCCTATAGCTGTGAGACTTTGAACAAATGACAACATCTTTGATCCTCTAGGTTCTTACCTATAAAATGGGGAGTATGTGTGGTGTGTGTGTGTGTGTGTGTGTGTGTGTGTTTGGAGAGGGCTGTTGTGAGGATTAAATGAGACAAGGCGGGACCAGCGCATGGCATAATGCTTATGTTGCTGGACTCCCACATGGCTGACTGTAGTTTGAGTCCTGAGCCTGGCAGCTTGAAACTCATGCTGGGCACATGTGCATGAGTGCCCAAAATCCTGAGAGAAGCATGGAGGAGAAGAGATTGTGATGTGGCCATCTCCCCTGGGGAGTGATTTCTCACTTTCTGTTTCTCTGTCTGTCTCTCTGGTGAGCACACATGCCCTATAGCAAAAATCTCTTTCAAAAAAAAAAAAAAAGAGAGAGAGAGAGAGACAAGGCATTAATGTCCCTGCAGTAATGCCTGGCGGGAAGTTATCCAGGGGCAGTAGATAAGGATGCTCAGGTGCTGGGTATACGGCAAGAGGGAGGGGTGGGGACTGTGGAGAACCAGGTATATCACCTCTAGCTGCCTGTCACCATAGAACTGGATATTACTGAATTATCCAGTTTTATAAGGGAAGCTGGAAAGCTGGACTCTTTGGGCAAAATCCCTTGATTTTTATATTTTGCATATTTGCCATCTGTTTTTGCTTGTTTTACAACTTTTTGTGAGCACTCATCAAAAGGTAGCTGGTGTCATCCACAATCCTAAAATTCAAAAAGCTCGAAAACAGAATTGTCACTGATGTCAGAGCCTAACTTGACCTGAAGAGGGAGGGGGGGGGTTGAGGCTAACCATGGTTGCCCTTTATCCCACCTCGGGTTACCTGTGCCTGTGTCTTGCCATAGAAATACCAGTGTACAGGGCCAGCAGGTGGCATGGTAGCTAGACGCTAGATTCCTACCTGGCCAACCACAGTTCAAGTCCCGCTCCTAGTGGCTTATTTTCTCTCTTTCTCTCTCTCTCTCTCTGATCAAATTAAAAATTAATACTAATAAATCATAATTAATAAAATGTAAAAATAAAATAATTCTTAAAAAAAGATACCAGTGTGCTAGGTTACTGGAAGCCCCAAAGACCTTGCCAGGGTTGTGTCAAGATATTGAATATGAAGGCCAGCAGGTGGCTGGACTGGACTCCCACATGGCTGACCGTGTTGGGTCCTGGACTGGCAGCTTGAAACATGCTAGGTGTGTGTCGCATGTGCCCAAGATTCCAGGAGGAAAATAAAAGAGAAGGGATTATAGTGTGGCCACCCTCCTGAGGGGTGAGTTCTCACTTTCCTTCTCACTGTCTCTCTCGGACGAGCCTATACACCCTATGTCAAAAATCTTTGTAAAAAATTGGACAAGCATATTACTTTTCTAAAACCAGAAACTTGCATTTGGAAACACATTCATCAGAGTTTGGGGCCTGCGTGAATCTATGATTTCTGTTGTTATTATATGAGTTCAAACTAAGCCAGGGAACACATCTTCAGCCGGTGGCAGTGAAGGGCCTCACCCTTTTCCCCTGGTCTCCTGCCTGCTTTGGCCTCTGCATCGAGGTCCCCCCTGAGCACTGGCCTAGGAGTCAGGACCTCAGGTACTTGTCATGCAGTCCTCATGAGCCTGAAGGCAGCTCTCTCTGCACTCAGAGCCTCAGTCTCTCCATCTGAGCCAGAATTTTATAATTTCTGAAAATTTCATTTGGTCAGCCTTATCTCCCCACCCCCACCCCCAAATAAAGAGATTAAGCACCAGCACTCCCTTTCCTTCCCCTGCTCATAGGGGGGTGGGGGACAGAATATTTTAACATAATAGGATTTTTCCCCCTCCGGATGGTAGGAATAAATCTGCAGCCACTGTTTTATTGGAAATCCCAGCTGAAAATAAAAATGGTGCAATTGAATATCAGATTTAGCTGGTTACTTACTTTTCACTGAGTCCCCAGGGCTCTGCGGTTGCTGGGTTTGTGTTGGCAGTGGGTGCAGTTGGATTTAAAGGGCCAAGCAGATGGGGTTGAGGGGCAGATGTCCTGACTCACTTGTACCGCTAGGGACAGGTTTTTCCAACCTGGAGAAATGGGGCAGGTGGGTGGCCAACTCACCCCTTATGTGAGGCTGGTGGTCAGCAGGAGCCTGGTGGGTGACCGTGGGCAGAATGTGTGTGTCTTCTGCCTTGACTGATGGAGGTGTTCTGGGTTTCTTTTGCAGGCTGACGGAGCCAGTGCAGCTGGAAGGAAAAGCACTGCCAGCAGGTACACCTCGCCCTGTCCCCTGACCCAGCAGATCCCTGTCCCTCTCCCTGGTCTTCACCACTACCAGCCAGCACTCTGAGCCTCAACCCTACTCGGGATGGATGGCCGCGGGCAGCTCTTTGCTGAGAAGTTCCCACACTTTCCTGGAGGATGTGAGGTCTCAGGCAGCATTTTCCATGTGGCTTCTCTGGGTGCCTGTGACTAGAATCCAAGGATGTCTCATTCCTCAACTGGCCATTGGTTGCTCTTAATGGGAGAACTTAGGGGTGAAACGTGAGACCAGACGGAAGGACCTGGGCTTGATCCCACTTTGGCTGTTGCATCGTGAACTCTGGGGGTAACACGCCATCTCAAACTGAACTCACTGCTGCATGTGCTTGGGTCACATGCTCTTCTCCCTGAACCAGTCATTCCAAAGCAAAGGGTGGGACACTGATGAGACAGAATGGGATCTGTCCTCACCCTTGAAGCTGACAGGAGATGGGAAGAGGTGATTCCCAAAGGAAAGCCAAAGGGAGAAAGATGACAGGTAGCTTTGCTATGTTGTCACCACAGGTAGCCTGGGTAGACCCTTGGTAAATGTTAGTTCTGATTCTGCTGTTGTTCCATTAGGTAGAGTTAGAGTGGGACATTGGAGGCAGGAGGAAGAGAGGGACAGAGAAGAGGTGGCTCCCTAGAGCACTTGCATAAAATCTGGAATGGGCTCTAGGGTCCCCTCTTAGAGTCTGGGGACAGGTGGTGCATGCTGAGAAGAGCACCGTATAGCCAGTTCTTTAAATGCTAGTTCTTTAAATGCTAATAGAGACAGGCTCATGGTTCAGGTCTTAGGTGGGGCTGATGTGATATACCTAGGTTCCACCTATAGAGGATGTAAGTTCACTGCCAGCAACAACAGCAGCTACCCTGTGGGTTATTTTTACTGTTATAAAATACAGCAGAATGTAGTTAAGATCAGCGTACTGTATATTTCCGAGTAACTAGTGAAGAGGATTTTGTTCCCAGCACAAGTAATGACAAATGGTTGAGATGATGGTATACCAGTTACCTTGATTTAATCCTTACACATTGCATTTTTGTACTGGAAAAAAAATCACATTATAGTATCCCTACAAACATGTACAATTATTACATGTTAATAATAAACTTTTAAAAATTAATTAATTTTTTTAAGAGAGATTTTTGCTGTAGAGTGTGTGTTCTTGCTGGAGAGACAGAGAGACAGAAAGCGAGAATTCACCCTCCATGGGGGATGGCCATGCTGCAGTCCCTTCTCCCCCATTCTCCTATCAGGATTTTGGACATGCACTTACATGTGCCGGGCATGAGTTTAAAGCCACCAGGCCTGGGACTCAAACCACTATGTGGGCATCCAGTGACGTAACCATTATGCCATCTGCTGGTCCCAATAATAGATGTTTAAATTTTTTTTTTTTTTTTGGTGGGGAAAGGAATCTATTCTTTGGCCAAGTAAGTTTGGAGGGCAGTGCATTAAGCTATCAAGTGGGTTTCTTTGTTCTGGGTCTTTTCAGCACCTTTACTTTGCTAATGTGCAGGCTGAGACATCTCAGAGAGAGGGAAGAATGCCATGTTTCTCAAACTGACTGAACTGTTGTACCCTTTCGATGAAGTTCATCCCATCAAACGAGTATTTCTTGGCACACACTCTGGGAAACTATGGAGGAAGAGAGGAAGTTTTTGTAGTTCTTGTTTTTTGTAGTTCTTCAAAATGCATTTGGCTTTGGGTTGGAGCACAATTACATGGGCAGCCCTGGTAGGGTGGGTTGAGGGTGAGGAGGAAGGAGACTGGGCATCAGGCTGGAGGTCTCTGCAGCCCCGCATGGCCTGGCAGGAATTTTATGCAGAGCCATATAGTCTTTGTGGCAGTTTCTCAACCCCACTTGTGTATTGCTGAAATAGCCATAGGTAAGACATAAAGATGAGGGAACCTCAGAAAGTCCATGGAGAAGGGGAATTATAGCACGAGTTTACTGTGCAAAAGGATTTTTAAAATCTATGCTTATTTTTTCATAATACTCATTTTCTTTTCTCTTCCCACTTTTGCCAGAGGGTGGGGACACTCACTGGAGAGAGGAAAAGTGAGAAATCACCTCTCATAGGGGATGGTCACACCACAACCCCTTTTCTTCCATTTCTCCCTCCTTTTGGGATTTTGGGTACACTTGCACATGTGCCCAGCATATTTTTCAAGCCTCTGGTTCTGGGACTTGAACCATGGGCTTGGCCATGTCAGATCCAGCAGCCTTAACCACCACGTCACAAGCTGCCCCCGTAATATGCATTTTCCATGAAACTGTTGGAGACTTTCATATGTATGCGAATGGCTGTGGTTTGCCGACCCCCAGCCTCCATTGACTCCTGCCTGAGACCCTTTGGCACTGTGGTCCCTTTAGCTCAATGCTCTCCTCTCTGATCTTCCTACAGTTAGGTCTCGTTCATCTTTCAGGCCTTGACTCAATCCTCCCTTCAGAGATGCTTTCTCTGAGCCCCTTATTCAGGGTATCTACCACCCAGCCCAAGGGCTTCATAGCCCGCTTATCCATTTATTAGTGCGCCTTTCTGTCTCTCTAGGGGGCCAGCTCTGCAGGGGAGAGACCATGTCTGTCTTGTTCAGTGCTGTGGTCCATGCTGTGGGCCTGGCCCTCACAGACGCTCAGGGAATGATTCTGGGGTGGATACAGCGAGCAAGATGGGAGAAGATGTAGGAGTGACCTAGGCCAGGGAGCATGGGGCGGAATAGAGGGGGTGGAGCCCAGACAGAGGCGAGATAGCCGTGCTTGGGCCGATGAGCATTGGTGGTGACCCACTGGACCAGCAGCTGCTGAGTGTCTGTGCTTTTCTCCTGAACCCTGGCTGTGGGATACTGTGTAAGAACAGTGCATGAGGGAGGCTGCAGTCCACAAGGCAGTCCTTAGACTGGTGATGCCTGGATACGCTTCTGGCATCAGAATGTCAGGACTGGAAGGGGCCTTGGAGTTTGTCTGGTTCACCCTCTTGTACAGATGCGAGATTGAGGCCCATGGGAGGGAGAGCCTTGCTCAAGGCCAGATGGTGAGTAAGGGGCTGTGTCAGACCTTGAACCTGCCAAAGCCAGTGCTTCCTCTTCTCAACAGTGTTGTGCTCTAGGGAGGGTCTAGACAGCCTCTCCCCTCCTCCTTCCACCATATTCAGCAACTGCTGTGGTAGGCCCAGTGCTGTGTGCTGTGGACTCAGATGGATCAGATGCTAATGTATTCATCCGGTAGACGTTCCAGGGTCTTCCATGTAGCAGGCACTATTCAAAGGCTGGATCTAAAGCAGTGAAGAGACAAAGCTCCGCCTACTCCTCACTCTCGGGACGTGGTCCTTGCCCTCACGCTCTGATGCACATTCTTCTCTCACGAGGTCTCTGCCTGGTGACTGTAACCAGAGGACAGCAGGGAGGTTCCCTGCAGTGGCTGAGGCTGCCTGAAGCTCTGAATTGTGTATTATCAGCCTAAGGCTGCAGTCAGTGGGGAAAGACTGCTGAGATCGATTAGAGATGCCTGCCCAGACAGGGGAGGGGTGGGAGGTATGTGTGCCACCTGTTTGCTTTATGCTGCCGAACTAGGCTGTCCATTACAGAGACTCAATGAGCAAGCCCTGTGTTAATACCGAGGCACCAGTACGCACAGGAGGTCCTGTATACACGAGTTCTACATCCATGAGTTCAACCAACGGCAGAGTGAAAGTAGAAAAAAAAAAAGTAAAAACGAATAACATAATACAAATAATACAACTTACAAAACAAACATAGCATAGCAACTACTTATATAGTATTTATGTTGTGTTAGGTTTATAAGCAACATCGAGATCATTTGAAGCCTACGGAGGGTGTGCATAGGTAATGTACAAATGGCATTTTAAATAAGGGACTTTTTGCTCTGAAAGAGTCCCAGAGCCAGTCCCCTGGGATACCAGGAAGGGCCAGCCCAGACCTTAGGCTGTGTGTGACTCGAGGTGCAGTAATGACTCTCTTTAGCTTGAACTTCGTCGTCAGGCGGTCGGCTCAGTCACTTACATGTTAGGTCGTTAGCCGTGTGCAGCCTTGATAACCACCCTAGGATGGAGGGCTTCTTACTCCCACTTTACAGATGAAGCTGAGGCCCAGGGAGGCTTTTGGCTAGGAGCTGCCTAGTTGGAAGTCAGCAGTAGAGTCAGGGTACCTATCACTCTGTCTGTGAGGTGCCCTTGGCCACCGTGCCTGCTCACCTCTTGCTGTGATCAGTTCACACGTGTTATAGGTGCCACTGGAGCCTGGTAGGAGCCAGGGCCAGGCTGTAGGTTGTGGTCCTGTCAAGAAGGTGGTGGTGGTGGGGGGGGACCCTGGAAAAGTCACAGGTGAGTGACTTTATTGATCATATGACTTATGTTCTGTGATTAAAACTAAGCATCCTTTGAGAGCTGGCCCAGTGGCCTAGTGGTTAAGGGACGCAGATGCCACATGGCTGTGTGGTTCAAGTTCCCACCCTCGCAGCTTGAAAATACACCGAGTGCATGTGCACGTGTGCCCCAAATCCCACCGGGTTGGAAAAATGAAGAAATTGCGTCGTGACCATGCCTCGTGGAGGAGGGCTTTCTCCTTCTCTCTCTCTCTCTCTCTGTCCCTCTCTCTCTTTCTCTCTCTGTCTCTCTGGTGAACTTCCATGCCCTCTAGCACATTAAAAAAAAAAAAAAAAAAAAAAAAAAGAGTTTCCTTTGAAAGACCAGCACACCGTTATTGAATAGTGAGTGTGTTCAGTCTGAGAGGTGAATCACACGCTAAACAACGAGCAACGTTAGTGGGGGCCACTGGTGAGCGTGGCCCTGGCCAGGTGCGATGTATCAATAGATGGGCAGACACCATAGAACATGAGAGCTCATTTAGTTCCTGGTCCTGACGAAGAAACAAAGATTCCAAGGTTTCTGAACATTGGGATTAGGCTAGACGGCTCTAGGCAGGAATGACCTTGAAGGCCCTCAAG